GGGTGGCTGATTGGGAAGGTATATCGTGTTGGGCTGGAAGAGGAGTGCAGTTTGGCGTGGGCGTGAAGGCCACAGCGACCCTGGCACAGGCCTCAGAGGACTGAATCACTGGCAGCTGTGGTGGTTTCCAGACTTCTCAACCCATGATTGCCAAAGACAACTTAGAAGGTCAGTGGGAAAAGTCTGTGACTGGGGTGAGAGAATAAGCTAGGTCTCAGCTGCCCCGAGGGCAGTGGCTGCCTTCTGAGCTTCAGGCCCACAGACTGAGGGGGAATCGAGTGGCTGATCAGAGGGGGATTACAGGGATCTCTTTGCCAGTGTGAGGCAGGAATCTCTTGCTTTACCAGTGCTTGGATCTGGGTTGCAGTTCTGAGGGGTGGTCCTGGGGGGAGGAGGAGCGCTGGCATGGTGGAGCTTGTTGTGGTGGGCCTTGGGCCCCAGGGCAACTGTTGCCTGGAATCACCTCACCCCTTATCATAGCACCTTGGAAGAATGGAAAATTTTCAGGTTCCTAGAAGTATCTCTGAAAACAGCTGTACAAACCCCTGAAGCTTGGGACAGTACATTCTCCATGTTGGAAATAGATTGTTACCTTAATAAAGAGTTTAAAACTCAAGTAATTTGTTGGGATCATGAGCAAGCAGTGCAAAAAGAGTCAGATTATATTATATATAATTATATAATTATATATATATATGAATATATATGTATATATTATCTTACTTTGGCGACAAAGAAGATCAAAACATACAACCAGAAGAAAAAAACAAAGTCATAGTTCCTACATCCAAAACTTCCAAGAAAAATATGAATCAGTCCCAGGCCTTGGAAGAGCTCAAAAGGGATTTTAAGAAGCAAGCAAGAGAAGTAGAGGAAAAACTGGGAAGAGAAATGAGAGTGATGCAAGAAAATCATGAAAAGCAAGTTAACAGCTTGCTAAAGGAGATCCAAAAAAATACTGAAGAAAATAACACCTTAAAAAATAGCCTAACCCAAATGGCAAAAGAGGTCCAAAATGCCAATGAAGAGAAGAATGCCCTAAAGAGCAAAAGTGGCCAAATGGTATAGGAAGTCCAAAAGATTACTGAAGAAAAGACTTCCTTAAAAATTAGAATAGAGCAATTGGAAGCTAGTGACTTTATGAGAAATCAAGACACTGTAAAACAAATCCAAAAGAATGAAAAATTAGAAAACAATGTGAAATATCTCATCGGAAAAACAACTGACCTGGAAAACAGATCCAGGAGAGAGAATTTAAAAATTATTGGACTATCTGAAAGCCATGATCAAAAAAAGAGCCTAGACATCATCTTTCATGAAATCATTAAGGAAAACTGCCCTGATATTTTAGAACCAGAGGGCAAAATAGAAATTGAAAGAATCCACTGATCTCCTCCTTAAAGAGATCCCCAAAGGAAAACTCCTAGGAATATTGTAGCCAACTTCCCGAGTTCCCAGGTCAAGGAGAAAATATTATAAGCAGCCAGAAAGAAACAATTCAAGTATTGTGGAAACACAATCAGAATAACACAAGATGTAGCTGCTTCTACATTAAGGGACCACAGGGCATGGAATATAATATTCCCGAGGGCAAAGGAGATAGGATTATAACCAAGAATCACCTACCCAGCAAAACTGAGTATAATACTTCAGGGGAAAAAATGGTCATTCAGTGAAATAGAGGACTTTCAAGCATTCTTGATGAAAAGACCAGAGCTGAATAGAAAATTTGACTTTCTAATACACGACTCAAGTGGAACATGAAGAGGTAAACAGGAAAGAGAAATCATAAGAGACTTATTAAGGTTGAACTGTTTACATTCCTGCATGGAAAGATGATATTTGTAACTCATGAGACCTTTGTCAGTACTAGGGTAGTTGGAGGGAAAAAATTATATATATTATATATATATATATATATGCATATAGGTGGATAGATAGATATATAGATAGAGGGCACAGGGTGAGCTGAAGATGAAGGGGTCATATCTGGAGAATAAAATCAAAGAGTGAGAGAGGATTATGCTAGGAGAAGGAGAAAGGGAGAGGTGGAATGGGGTAAATTATCTCACAAGAAAATAGAAAAGAAAAGGCTCTTACAGTGGAGGGGAAATAGGGAAAGGTGAGAGGGAATGAGTGAATCTTATTCTCATAGGATTTGACTTAAGGAGGGAATAACATGCACACTCAACTGGGTATGGAAATCTGTCTTACCCTACAGGAAAATAGGATGGGAAGGGGACAAGAGAGTAGGGGGATGATAGAGAGGAAGGCAGATTGGGAAAGGGAGTAATTAGAAGCAAATACTTCTGAGGAGGGACAGGGTCAAAAGAAAGCATAGAATAAATGCGGGGTGGGATAGGATTAAGGGAAGTAGAGTTGGTTTTTCACAGCATGTCTATTATAGAAGTGTTTTGCATAACTGCAAATGTATAGCCTATATTGAGTTGCTTGCCTTTTCAGTGAGGGTGGGTGGGGAGGGAGGAAGGGAGAAAATTTGGAACCCAAAGCTTTAAAAATGTATGTTTAAAAAAAGTTTTCATATGCAACTGGGAAATAAGGAATACAGGAAATGGGTTACAGAAATCTATCCTGCCCTACAGGAAAATACAAGGGGAAGGGGTGGAGAGATAGCAGGGAAAGCAGACTAGGGGAAGGGGTATTCAGAATGCATGTCACCTTGGGGTGGGGGAAGGGAGGGGCGAGATGGGGTTAAAATTTGGAACTCAAAATCTTGTGGAAGTAAATGTTGAAAACTAAAAATAAAAAAAAAACCAAAAGAAAACAAAATAAAAAAAAGTCTCTAAACAGTGTCTAGATTTTAAGAATCTAAGCAAAGAAACATTTCTTAATTATTCAGTATTATCTTCTAAATGTTATTCTGTTTGAGACAGAAATGTCCAAAGTTAAAGAATCTCCTCATGGCCTTGGATATCTCTCCCCTCAAGACATTTCTGAAGTAAAGACATTTGCAGGAATCCTGAATGCAATAAATTTCACAATAGGATAAAATAGTGTTTCATGGCTTAGGGTTAATATTTTGCAGTATCCCATGGAATAGTCATGTATTGTTTCTGCCGTACTGCTGGAAAGTCTTTTCCTGAAACTGTTCAATCTCTCTGTGACCACTCCCCATAAGGCTTGTCTCCCTCTCAATTTTTCAAGTTGCTAGTTGAAGAAAGCATTGACCTCTTTTCTATAATTAATAACTTAATACCCTCAAGGAATGGGAGAAAGTAGATGTTGCTCTTAAGTTGGTCATTAAACTATCTTGGGGAAGGGGAAATTCAATCATCTAAGTAGACATGAGATATTTCTTATTTTCAGTCCATGTGACAAGACAGAAATAAAACTGTCCTTGCCCTCAAGGGGCTGGCTGCTGGAGTCTGTAGGGTTCTGGCAGCTTACCTGGTGCTGAGCTGGGGTCAGCAACACTGAAAGTCTTGGGGTGGGGGTGGGGTCTGGCCCCAGGAGGATGCCTTCTCACCTGGGCTTCTTTGAAGCACTGGAAGGCTTGGCCACCAGAGGATGCTTATTCGCCTGGAGCTGTGCCTCCTGGAGTTGTTGTGGTGAAAAGCACTTTTTGTCAAGAGGGCATGAGAATCCTGAGTATCAATTTCTGTTTTGGTCAGAAGGATCAGAGACCCTGAGAAACAATGTAACTTTTGGTCCCAATGAATCAGGGACCCTGAGGATCAGTATGCATTGCAATCCCAAGGAGTCAGGGGACCTTCCTGGGTAAGGATCAGAATGCAGACTAGGAGACGAGTGAGTATACCTCTCCATAGATCACACTGTCTTGGACCCCCTCCCCCAAACTTCCAAACCCCCAGAAATAGCTCTGAAAACAGTAGTGCAAAAAGCCTGAATCCTAAGACAGTGTACTTCCTCCCTCCCTCCCATGCTAGGAATGGAGCCCAACCTTAATATAAAATTCAAAGTCAATTAACAACATGGAAAAATGAGCAAATAACAAAAAAGAACTGGGACATAAAAATCTATTATTGTGACAGGGAAGATCAAGGTACAAACTCAGAAATCAATGAAGTCAAGGTACAAGCAACCATCTACCCCCAACGTGAAATGGATACAAATTGAGATATAATTCCTGGAAAAGCTAAAAAATCATTTTCAAAATCAAATAAGAGTGGTAGAAGAAAAATTAAGTAAAGAAATGAGAGCAAGGGAAGAAAATTATATAAAGAAAATTAAAAGCCTGCTAAAAAGCAAAAGAAGAAAATACTGAAGCAAATAAACACCTTAAAAACCAGAAATGGTCAAATGGAAAAAATAGGCACAAAATTTTACTTAGGAAAATAACTCCTTAAAAATGAGCATTAGGCCAGTGAAAGCTAATGATTCTATGAGACATGAAGAAACAAGCAGTCAAGAGAATGGAAAAATAGGAAAAAAAACCATGAAATATCTCATTAGAGAAACAACTGACCTGGAAAATGGATCAAATAGAGATACTTAAAAGCTATGATCAAAAAAAAGAGACTAGACATCATATTTTGAGAAATTATCAAGGAAAACTTCCCCCAAATCCTAGATCTAGAGGGTAAAATGGAAATTGAAAGATTCCACAGATCACATCCTGAAAGAATTCCCAAAATAAAAATTCCCAGGAATTGTATAGCTAAATTCCAGAGTTCTGGGTCAAAAAGAAAATACTTAAAGCAACCAGAAATAAATCATCCAAATACTGTAGCTCCACAGTCAGGATCACATAAGATTCAGCAGGTACCATGTTAAAGGAGCAGAGGGCTTAAAATGTGATATTCCTAAAAGCAAAAAAGCTGAGATTACAACCAAGAATAACCTACCCAGCAAAACCAAATATAATCCTTCAAGGGGGAAAAATGGATATGTAATGAAATAGTGGAATTTCAAGCACTTCCAATAAAATGGCAAGAGCTGAATAGAAAATTTGATTTTCAAATACAAGAGTCAGAAGAAGCATAAAATAGTAAATATGAAAGAAAAATCACAAGGGACTCAATAAGGAGATGATACATGTAGAAACTCACTGAAGGAGGAATTGTTTCATTTTTGTCTTTTTATCACCGTTGCCTGGTTTGTGTTTAATATGCAATAATAAAGCTTACTGATTAACTGATAAGAAAATGGAGTGTTGGTAGAAAGAGCAAGACAGAAAAAGACATTTATAGTTTGATGTACATGTGGCCATGAGATTTAATGGGGAAAAAATCCAGGGAAAAAAATTTAGGTGAGTTTCCATCATTTCCTCCCTTAGATCTCTGTGCGAAAAGTCAAAGTGGTTCCTGCCATCTTCTTCTTGTAATCTTCATCAAATTTCTCATTCTGGGCAACAGTAAAATGGTTCTTCCAGTCCCCTGGCATTCCTGAAATGTAGAAAAACCACATTGTTAAGCCATCGAGGCAGACTTTTTAAAATGGGCATATATTCATAGAGCCATTAAATGAATGGGGGATAGAAATTTTGGTTTTCAAAGAACACATAGAGATGCCATTGACCTGAATATCTGAGTTTCAACAATAGCTTCAATTTGTATTGAATTTTACAGTGTACAAAATGCTTTTCACCTATCTTCTCTTATTTCATCTTCACAACGATCTTGTGATTTAGGTAGGTTAGGAAAAATTGCCTGCTTTCATAGTTGAATAAGCTGAGACTCACAGACTTAAGGTCACATTGGTTAGAGGTAGAGTTGGTCTTCTGATCTAATTTTGCTGCTCTTTCTGCAGTGTTATGTTTTTTTCTCCAAAATAATTAGTGTTAAGGGAATTCTTAGACAAGTCACAATTAGCACGTACAAGGGTTTGACTTATTCATTATACTAAAAGTTTAGTAGAAGACTATTTCATGCCATTTGTATACCATAACTTCTTCATACATCTCTCAGTTTGTGGGTACTCCCTCAGATTTCTATTCTTTGTCACCTCAAAAGAATTATAGATATTTTTGTACATTTTTAGAGTCTGTTTTGCTTAGAACTAATCCCTCCCTAGCTTTACCCTCTCCCCTTTCCCTACGCACCTTTCCTCATGAATGGGGAAATGGAGTGATCCAGTATGCTTGAAGGCAATGTAGTATAGTTTGCCATAGGATTTTCCTTCATGATATCAAAAGAGGTGTGATAAATGATCTTATTGAGGATTTCCTCTGATAAGTCCTTTTCCAGGAACTTTAAAATCTTCTGGATTTCCTGCTTTGGATCCTAAGTGAGGAGAAGCCAGTAAAAAAAAAAATGTAAAATAAGTAGGATCTTCTAACAGTCACAGAGCCATACTGTTTCTGTAAATATGGTCACAAGATGATAGCCTTGGAAGCAGAAGGACCTCAGAGGTCATCTAATCCAATCCAAAGTTAGTCAATAAGCATTTAAAAATGTGTTTTTGTTTATATCAGTCAAAATTCATGTTCTTACCTCCCCCTCCCACACTAATGGAGAACACAAGAAAAGTAAACATTTGTAGTCAATCAAAACAAATGTCCACACTGGCCATATCCAAAACATTTTGTCTCATTCTACATTATGAATTCTTCACTTCTGTATTGGGAAGTGGGTAGAATATTTCATCAATAGACCTCTGTAATCCTGGTTATTATGGGGTGCTTGGATGCTTGTGCTTGGACCCCAGTTTCTCCCTAGTCTCAGAAATACTGTCTCTGACAATCACTCCCCAGCCCAAGGACACTGTACCTAGCAATTACTCATGCATGGGCCCCAGCATGACTCTTATCTCTCTCCCTGGTGCAGCTACACAAAGCTGGGTAAGAGAGTGCTGGCTGCTCAGGCCCCAGCCCTCAGATCATGTCTGTGGAAGCCTCCCAATTCCTTCGTAAGTTCCTGTCTTGTGAGAAAGCTTTCCCTTGTTGCAGAGCATTCTCTCATCAAGACAGAGAGAGAGGGGTGCCTTGCCTAACCCAAGGAGTTTTGTCCTTGGCTGGCCCAAGGACT